CATAATCATAGAATGATTATTAGGATGAGAATGCAATTTGTACTAAGATCACTTGTTTCTTCATATATATATATAAGAGCTAGCACGCCCTTGTTTACAAAAACCAAGAGAACAAGAGGAAGTAAGCTCTCAATTTATTGTCAACACGTACAAAACAGAAAGACATCATCACACACACCGGTAATTTACAAACAGAACACAACCTAGAAGGTAGGCCTGCGCACAAGAACAACCGAGTTGACAACTTCATTATTTGGATGGAAGATTGTAAGAAGCTCTAATCCCGGCAAGTCATGCTCCTCAACAACAGGGTACAAAAATGCTCTTGCCCCTTTTGCACTCCTGACAAGCAAAACGCTTCCCTCCTTCATGTACTTCCCAATATGCCCAAGAATCTTTATCTTCTCTTCCTTTTTCATGCCCACCAAGGCAGCCAAAAATATGCAGTCATATTCTCCAAGCCTCTCTCTAAGTTTCATTACATCATGTGTCTCAAACTTCATCCTCTTTGCCAGCTCAGCGTCCGAAGCAACAATTTTTCGAGCCACATCGTTCGCCTTCTCATCAATGTCAAAGTTGTCGAAATGAGTGGATTTCATGTGATGAGTAGCCATTATTATGGAAGTGAGAGGCATTGGCCCCGACCCAACAAAGGCTACCTTGTGTGGATGCACCACCCCATTGTCAAGGAGAATCTTGTGCTCCAAGTTGGCTAGGAGAACATAGTTTCCATAGTAAGGGAAGAGATTGAGATTGTTTAGAGGTTGAGGAACATTCACAAGGAGTGTGGCGAATTCAAGCTCCAAAAAGCCCTCGGCTCGGCCGCAAAGATTGATGAGACTCTCACGCATAGCTTGGGCTTCTTTGGACAAGTCCATGATATCTATGTCACATGGAAGAATGCATAATTTGACCAGCTGAGAGAAGAGGGCATTGACTTGCTTTGAAGGTCGAAGAGAGTCAAGTTTGGAAATGCTTGAATGAAGTTGTGTAATGCGAGCTATGAGAAGCTGGGCAGGAATTTGGGTTTCCGAGTTGGAGATTTGGAGGGAAGCCATTGGCGATTATTGAATACGCTGTCGTTTAGATTGGAGATAGAAGCTCTGGTTTGGGTATTGTGGAAAGGCTTTTCCATGTATTTATAGGAATTCAGACTTTGGATTGCATATGCTACGTTTAAAAATCTCTAGATATGGTCAACTCAAACGGGGTGCTTCATGCCATAGGATCTTCGTTTGTTTCATATAGGTTATATATATACACATCAAATGCTGACTTTTCTTCCGCCAATAATTTTTTTTATTTATAAGAAAATAATATAAAAAGACATTCTGTAAGAATCCTTTTATACTAATATGTGCCCCCTTTTTTTTTTCCTAATATTGAAACATAACATAGGTCCCAATTTAGAATTTTCTCTTCAATTAAATTTCTTCTTTAAAAAAAATTGCATCGTGTGTGTGTCGAGTGCTAGCATATTAAAAAAGAAATAAAATCGTACCAAATCTTATATATCAAATTGGATAATCACACATTAATGGGATCTAACTTAGTGAAAAAGGGCACTGACTTGCTTATTAGAGATCTCAGGTTCGAACCTTATGACATCTTAGTTGTGTGTGTAAGAGAGAAACCCCTCCCCTGTGCTTAATATTATCACTTATAAAATAAGGTAATGATTTCCCCACTCCTATTTTATCCACTTACACTCCTTTTTTAGTTATAAAAAAGGAGTGTAAGTGGATAAAATAAGAGAAATAGGAGTGGGGAAATCACCACTCATAAAATAAATAAAATGGATAATCACACACCACCTCCACCATTATTAAATTTATGAGAGTGCATGTGCCATCAAATCCAAAATATTATTGGTTTATACCAAGTCCTAGGATCTAAGATGCCAAAAGGAGATTCCTTCCACACGCGTCCTTCCATGAATGGAAATATAATGAAGTAAAGCAACCGATCCTATAACTCCTTCATGTTCACACTTGAAATTGAATGTGTGAACGGAATTTAGAATCAGAGCTTATTGAGGTTTAAAGAGGCATGGGAAATGCCTGAGAGACAATCTCCTGGAGGGTCAAATTAATTGTATGTCCAAATTTTAAAGATATCTTAGGGCATGTTTGGTATTCAACTTGAATCCAACTTTTTAAACTCAAAAACATAATTTGAGTCCAAAACAAAGAAAACATGTTTACTAGCCCTATTTTTAAAAAGTCAAACTCAAGAACAACAAAAAAACACCCTAATTATTAAAAACAAAAAATATCTGTTTTTTCATTTTTTTTCTAACAACCCACAAGTTCTCAAATTTTTAAGATTTGAAAATAGTTTTCAAGTTGCATACCAAATAAGTTTTTGAATCTTAAAAATAGATTTCAGAACTTCTTGTTTTTAAGAAAAATCAAAGTTTTTGAGTTCCCTATTTGAATAGGATACCAAACGCCCCCTTATTTACATGCTTAGCGAAGAAAAAAAATTATATAGATATTTGGTCATCTACCCAAAATATAATATTTTGACTACTTGTTGCCAGATATAATTACAAATGTTTTTTAAAAAAAACCCCACAGCATAGCAATTATTAATTGGCAACGAATTATTTCAAAACCAGGCAAATATGTATGAGCAAGCTAGGTTGCACAGACACTCCACTAAGTTAGAGTGACGGAGTGTTGGTCACTCGGACACTCCTCGAACACTCGTGTCCAACGGTCAACGTTGTATCCATAGTCAAGACACTTTATGAACACGAATCAACTCATACTCATAGTTAACTAATGTGCTTTTTTTTTGGGTCAAGGGTCAACTAATATGTTAATTCAATTATAATTCATATAAAATAATAAACTAAATTTGAAAGATTTGAAAATCTTGAATTTCACTATATATGGTATTGTGAATTTGAACTATGAACATCAATATTTTATTTTTGTTTAAATATATAAGTATTATTATAATAATAAGAAATTAATTGTTGTGTCCCGGTGTTATGTTTTTTGGAGATGTGTCGCTTCCCCGTTTCCTCGTATTGCATATCTGTGTCCGTGCAACATAGAGTACAAGTTTGAGGTTTATCTCAATCTAGTAGATTTTGAGCAGAGTTTAAAAAATAAATAAAAAATAAAAAAGGAGAGATTAAAGAACAATCAAGCAGTGCCAACAGTTCATAGCTCACTGATAAGGGCATTGGCCTGCACATCACTAATCTCGACAAACAAAAAAAGTACAAATCAAGTAGTTGAGCCCAGAGAAAAGACCAATCAGTCAAACTCGTGGAACCAGCCCTACCAATCTTAATTAGACGTGTGTTTTGTTGTTCTTCTTCCATTTTATAATTTTATTATTCTTTTTGTATGTTTGCAAGTAAATAAGTAAGTTTAACAATTACTTTACTTTTCTCCTACAAATGTAATTGCAAAATATATTGCCCAAAAAAAAAAAAAAAAAAAAAAAAAAAAGAGAGGCTGAAACTGGATTAAGCGGATTGGGCCTTGATGCTTGATCAAGTCACTGAAACTTGACTTAGCCATGCAGCCCATGCCAGCCAGGTTAAACAATGGGTCGATATTGACATATTGGGTCTTTTCAGGGTCAATTATGAATCTCACAATCTCACCAAACTATTCTATTACTATGAAATTTATTGTTTTGGCAGTATGATTAGAAATAGGAAAATAGCTTAAAATGCCACCATTTTTATAATTTTAACTAAAAATACCACTTATTTTCAATTTTTTTACAACTACTACATATAAAATACATCTTTATTGTGGACTGATTGTACCCATATCAGTTTTTCAGAAATTGGCTTCGCTCTGAACTCTCTTGGCTCTATCTCTTCGGCCCGCCTCTCTCCCTCGTGTACCTCTCTCGCTCTGACGTAATCGACTTTCTCCCTCAGCAGTGGTTGTTCATCCAAGCTTAACTCCACCGTTGACATCCACGAGGTACTGTTCATATACATTTTCTTTGAAATTTGGGGTTTTTGTGAATTTGGTTTATGGTGTATGGATTTGTAAGAAATTGTTTTAGGGTTTTAGTGTTTAGGGTTGTTCAGAAATTGGGTTTGGGTTTATGGGTTTCTATGAATTGGGTAATAACTCACACCCACTCTCACTCGCTCGCAGGCACTGTTCACAGAAATCAAACTCTTCATTTTGTCACATAACGTTTGGGCTTCGTTCACCTTTGCTTGGGTAAGTCCCAACTATCTATATTGTTTGATGAGATTTTAAGCTCTGGGCTCTATGATTTCTACAAGAATTAATTCCACAATATTTTGATTTTACTTGTTCAAATCAAAGCAAGGGAAGAGACGTTGTTTATGGATGGGTAGTTGTCAAAAACGACTTCTGGAATCTACATGCTTATAATCAAATTTTATAGATTGTCAATGGTCCACAGTCCACATTTGAGACCGAGAACGCCTCAGTCACCATTGCCATCACTCTCCATCGCTCATTAGCTTGTTTCTTCATAAGACAAATTATTCTCTCAAGCTCTTTTCAGAATTTGATCATCTGGTCAGTTGATTAAGTTTTCTTATGAAAATTTATTTGAAGTCTTATACATAGTTTTTGCTCTAATTTTTCGTTTTGAATTATTCGTTAAAGTTTATTTATTTATTTATTCATTTATAATTTCGGAATTGATGAGATATCTGGTCTAGGCTTCAGATTACCCTAATTTTTTGTTCTTTATTGTGATTGTGATTTTAGCTAAGGATTGGGTGATGTGTTTTTGTTTTGGGTCATTTGATATGGTCATTTGACAGTGGCTATTGCTGTAAGTTTCTTTTCGGCTGTCTATGCCAAAAAAAAAAAAAAAAATCATGTTTTGTTTGAGTTTCTGTTTATGGGACCATGTTTGTTCCCAACATCAAATAGATTTACAGCACTCATCAATATTACTTATAGAATTTGTATAAACAATTTAAATGACTGTATTAAACATTCTTATGCTGGACAGAACACAAAGAAGCACCTGACACAGAGAGTCCATAATTTGGACGATAAATTGCTGGAGCAGAAAGAGATCTCAAAGTCGATTATGGAGAATGTATGTCATTTTCTGCATATTATGAGCTTTTAGTTCTTAATTCATAAATTCAAATTAAAAAACTTATAGTTTGATGAGGCTTAAGCAAAAACTTCTGGCATTATCAATATGGAACTAATAGGATGAATGTCACAGCTGGTTAGGTATCCACTATCCATATGTGATGTGCCATGCGTTAAATGTATGCAATTTAGTATTTTAAAATCCTGCATTCCAATTTAATGTAAATGGAGTCTTGTAGCATACGAAATATATTTTTGGCATCATCTCTAAATTTGGGTACAACTTGTGAAACAGGTTGGTGATACGAAAGGAAGTATTGAGGAACTTTACGTTACCGTGACTGAGTTGCAAAGGGCGCTTACTGGTTTGGTGAGTTCAGCTTCAACATGTATTGGTGTAGGCCAAATTTGGTATTTTTGGGAATTCCTAGAGTTTTACATTACATGCGCTCTCTCAATTTTTTACTTTCCCCTTATGTACTAATTTTCCTTTACATCACTCTCTCTGAGACAAATTTTTCTTTGAATTTGTAGCAACTTATCTTACTTTTCCCTTTTGCAGGATTACAAGCTAGGTTCCATTCAGAAAAGCAGGTAAAACAGCTTTATTTTTGTTCGAATAGAGAAGCCATAATTAATTGATGAGAAAGTGTAGTATTTATTAGAAGCCATAATTAATGTGCATATAACTCTGCTCTTTCACCAGTCACTTTTGTAAGTAAGATATGTCTTTCCTTTGGAGTACTTGCAGTGGCTGGTGCATTTATGTCGATACACACATCACTTTATTTATCTGCTTAAGGTTGTACTGATGGAAATGCCTCATGCAGGATGTTTCAAATCTTGGTCTTTTCTACCTCTTCAACTTTGTTCAGGGAAAACAAGTTGAAATGCCTCAGCAGGTTTGTACCTGTCAGTGTATGGATTTAAATGTGTTATTGACTCTTCAACTTTCATAATATTTTTATATTGTGAAAAATGAAAAGATTATGTTCATTGTATCAAAGTTACCTGTAAGTAATAAGATCATGTCGTAGTGAAAGATAAGCCCCTGCCATCATTTAATCTCACTCTGTTCTTTATCTTTTATTGAGGCCCTCAGTATAGTCTATTATGTAGTCTTTTTTGTATATATGATCACTGCTCTAATTAATTTTTCTACTTGCAAACGAAACTTAAACTTACTGGGAATCCACGTGGTCGTTTAGTGACATATTCAGAAACTCAGAGTCTGATGGTTTGTTTCTAAGAATCTTTTTTCTTCTGGTTGCTGACTTTATCCTAGTTGGAAATATTGAACAGAGGTCTTCGCATTTATTAATTATTATGGACTCATGTAAAGCATCTGTGCTCATTGTTTTTCACAACAAAGAAAGAAAATAACCTATAGATTACACTGCGATTAGATGCTAAAATTAGTAAAGCCTTGATGGAGCGTTATGCTTTAGGTTTGCATTCCCTTTGTTTCCAGTTAATTTTACACCATGAGATTGGGAGAAGGGAAAGACGTCAAATAGGGATTCCTTTAGAGCTATTCCCAATTAATTTTTTCTTTCCAAGATGCAAGCAGGAGGCTTAAGTCTACTGAGAATCATATGCCTGTGATTTCTTTCCCATGCCCTACAAAATTTCTTACATTTATATGGGGGTGGGTTGGGCCATGTTGTGTATTAAGGTTTGTCTGTCTTTAATAATGACTTTCTTTTCCTTCGAAGAATTAGGACATGACTTATATTCTTGGTAACCCTTTTTCTTCAAAATCTTTAGTTTCTGTCATCTGAAGTCTTTCCAGTCATTCAACTCAAAAAATCTCCAACCCACTTTGGAATGGTAGAACAAGTGTTAGAAGGCCATAAATAGCCACAAGTTCTCATACATGTATATAAAAAGTTGAAACCTACAGACGACAAGGGAAGAAGGAAGCTCTGTCCCATAGAGGTGATCCGTGGAGTAAACTAGAACCCGTAGAATCAAATCTCTCTCTTTATGAAAGGGTATGCGATTATATTTGTTTTCTAGGGCACAAGCTCTTTTGCCATTCTCACCAAGAAAAAGGAAAATGAAAAAGAGATTTGAAGTCGTGTATTTACCCCAACCCAACTGGCTGGTCTTACATTTGTCATACAAATGTAACCACTAATGAACTGATCCCTTTATTTTTTATTTTTTATTTATTCCAATTGCCTCTGCATCACATGGAAATCTTAGGATTTATTTACATCAAACTGCCTCTTAAGAGTCATTAGAAGAAGAAGAAGAGAAAACAGAAAGACCTAGCCGGAGCTTACAAGTAATTAAACTAAAGTTAATTTAGTTAAAGTCAGGGGAAGAAAACATGTTTATGGCACCATTCCAAATTGACTGCCCCCTCGAATTGCACAATGGCAATATGCTCTCCTCCTGCGACTCTAAAGCAGGCAAAACACTGGTGTTGGAAGGACATGTAAAAGGGTTATTGTGCATTCCATTGTACAAGCTTGAATGGATTTTCTTTTCTGTTGTATTTGGCCCTTCTCTTTTCAAGCATGCCAAAAATCATTCTGGTTTTGTAATATGTGGTTTGTGCCCTACTAATTTACCATGGATCTTGCATTTTTGTACCCAATATTTGATAGTTGCCTTCTTTTGAACGACGATTCATTGAGGGAGAGAATTACTTTCCTTTTGAATATGAATCGATGTGCAACTCCAACCATCATTTGAAAGGTCAACATCAATTCATGGTAATATAAGGATGGATAACAATTTTCGTGTCCTTGATATTTGAATTCAGGATTACTTTCAACGAAGTAGAGATTGTTATTAGACCAAATGCCATTGACATACGATATAATAGCAATATTAGGCCAATATACATGCATTATAGAGGCAATACGATAGCAATAGTATTACAATATACATCCAATAGGGTGGCAATATGCATACACTATCTGTACAATACAACGGCAATATTAAGGCAATATACATACAATAGAACAGCAATATTAAGTGAATCTACATACAATACACACACATCCATTACAGACTACATTTTACACATGCAAAATAAATCTCCACCGAACCTTAACAATACTATCCCGCGAAGGGAAAACAAAGGCAACAAAAGATCCATGTACTCGAGTGAGATGAACTGAAGCAGCACTCACCCTTACTACAGGTCCATCAAAATATCCATGTCTTTGTCCTTTCTCCTCGCTGCATGCACAAGGCTATGATGAGCCATTCCCTCAGCATCCATATTCAGCACCTCCCAGACACCAACTACATCAATTTCACTCCAATTGTAGTCTAGTGAGATGACCGAAGCATAATATCGGAACATTTCGAAGCCGTTGTTGAAACATTCAACCATTTCATGGTTATAATCTTTAGATTTTGTGAATTTTTTGACGGCATATTTCTTTCTCTCTTCCAATTTCAACTTCAAGGACTCTAACTCTTTGCTCCAACTTTTTGCTTTTAGAGTTTGCTTCACTTCTCCAGCATATGCTTTGTTCAACTTGTTGGCCGACCGAAGCATAATCTCGGAACATTTCGAAGCCGTTGTTGAAACATTCAACCATTTCATGGTTATATTCCTTAGATTTTGTGAATTTTTTGACGGCATATTTCTTTCTTTCTTCCAATTTCAACTTCAAGGACTCTAACTCTTTGCTCCAACTTTTTGCTTTTAGAGTTTGCTTCACTTCTCCAGCATATGCTTTGTTCAACTTGTTGGCTAAGTTTCCCATAACTTGGCCATGAATATCACATTTACTCTCCCACCAATCCGTTGCCTTAGACAAATTTTGGAGGTCGTGCTTGACGGCAGAGATTTTGTCAGGTGGATCATTGCTCTCAGCCTTACTTCCAGATGAAGTGGGATCACGATTAGGAGTAAGAGGTGGATATGGGAATGGCACATGCCACGACTGGTCCCCCGGGTAACTGACATGCTCGTTTGGAGGGCATACATCCGACATCTTTAATTATTGATGGGGACAATTCACAGCTGCCGACTGCAACAAAACAAATAAAGGTACATTCAGTCTCCAGTTGTAAAAGACAATATGGTTAGCTTTAGTGGAGAATGTTTGCCTTTGAGTAAGACTAATTACCTTTCCCGTTAAAAAGGTGCCTATGTTGCAGTTATATATAGGAAGGTTCAGTTATATGTAGGAACTTATATGAAGTATATTGGGTATTTAGTTGGTGCATTCAATTGATGGGATTGCAAACTACACCATTAACTCCTTGGCTGTAATTTACAGCAGTAAAGCATTACATTAACAACAATAAAATTGGCTTACAAACGAAAAAAAAAAAAAAAAAAGCAAACCTTAATGGGAAATTGGAAATTGTGGATTTCAACCCAAAATAGGACTATGTAACTAAGCATTTATTGCGAATTTCAGAAAAGAAAATTGGAAAATAGGAAAATAGCAAAAATGCAAACTTGGAAAATGGGAAATAAGGAAACTTGGAAAATTGGAAAATTGGAAAATTGGAAATAGGAAAAAAGGAAAATTGGAAAGAGGAAACTAGGAAATAGGATAAAAGGACACTTGGAAAATTTGTCAGTCCTTTATCTTCTATACTCACGAGTAAGGGAGCTTGTTTTGAAGGTGTTACTTCAGAATTGTACTTCATAAAAAAATTGACATCATCATCGTCCTCAATCTTTATGTGCTTCCACTCATTCGAGGCCAGCAAAACTGAGAATTTTAAGCAAACCTTGTCTTCCCTGCTGTTTGTATTACCAATCTGATGCACACGGTCCAACAGTTCAGCAAATTTGATGGTCCGTGGAACTATTAAGCCTTTTGAGTCACCTCCTTCGTATATGCACATTTTCTTCGAGGTGACCCATTTTTCATTGTAGCACATGAGAATAACAATTGTCTCCATTTCTGACCATAACAAAACAATATTTCATTAACACAATATAACCATAATAACCATACAATACAATGACAATATAACAGCAATATAATGGCAATATAACAGCAACATAACAGCAATACGACAGTAAAATATGAGGAACACCAGTAACACATTAGAATCACATTATACAGATCTACTACATCAAATGGAAAAGCCCAAGTTTCAAGATTCACATATCCAGACCAATCTAAATGCAATTGGTACAAACCCAGATGAATGAGCATGAATATTCAACAAAACCTAACCCAAATCAATTAAAGCCAAAACGAATTTAACACAAACCCAAACAATCAAAATATAACCCATTTTACATAATCCCACTGATATTAAGAAAATAATCATCAACACTACCTTTTAGAGGTCAGCAATCAGCTAGAGCTTCAAGGTTGCAAGTAGCTATTCATAAGACATACCTAAAGGGAGGGGTTTGCGATTCCAAACAGAGAGCAAGAGATCAAATAGGGGGAAAAAGAGACATAACGAAGCTAGAGAGAGAAACAGCTGCACTATGAGAAAGAGAGCAAAGAGAGAGACAGAGAGTTGCACTAGGGAGAGAGAAAGCCAAGACAGAGAGAGCCAAGAGAGACATAGAGAGCTGCGATAGACAAATACCAAAGAGAAATAGAGCTGTGCCAGAGAGAGAGAGAGAGCTGAGTGAGCTAAGAGAGAACA